TGCCGAATGACAACTCAAGCTAAAACCAATTTTGATTGATAGAGCTAGAAATGATAGCTCTTTTGAGCAGCGACCATGATAGTATTTATAGAAAAGAGAAAGAGATGTAACTTTACGACGATGGAAAAAAGGCTCAAGTTGGCGTTGCTTTATTTTAGTAGATAAAGTCGGTCCAACTACGTTTACAATGCGGTTTTGGACCTTATATAGAAGGAAAAGAGCATCATTAGAAGAACCAACTCTAATGTACAACAGTATTCCATACAAGGGCGAATAAGAGATAGCGGTAGAAATCAGGAATAAGAGAATGGTGAGCAACATAAAGAGAAGGAACCTTAGCAGATGCTAATTTAACAATCGATTGTATATATGATTTACATGAAAGGTCAACAGTAAACCATAATTCAAGAAGACGTAAAGAAGAGGACTCAGTAAGAGGGTTGTCATTCATTAGCATAGGAATGTCGACAGTATAGCGATAGTTGTTGGCAATAAATAACTGAGTTTTGTTGGAATTAAAATTCACAATCCGCTGCCAGCCATTTTTAATTTTTAACTTGTTACATAAACTGTAGGCGACAATGTAAACAGGGCTCGGTGATAAAGCAATATGTCTTCTTCTTGCTCCGGCCATTTATTATATATGTACGATTTTTCTTATTGTAGATTTTATTTAACGGCAAAGAAAATAAATAAATAAAATAAAAAATAAACAAACATAAATCTTTCTTTGTGAGGGACGACTGAATAAGCGCAAATTTTATAAGTGCGAACTGGCATATATGCGAATTGGCATAAATGTGAATTGGCATAAGTGCGAAATACTAATTTGAACTTATGCCGATATTTGTAATTTTATTCGGTGCACTTATGCCAATTTGCACTTATGCGAGTTCGCACTTATGCCAGTTTTTGTAGCTGATTCGCACTTATGCCAGTTTGCCAACATATATGCCGATGTTTGCAAATTTGTTCGGCGCGCTTATGCCAATTCGAACTTATGCCAGTTCGCACTTGCGCCAGTTTTTGTAATTGCTTTACACTTATGCCAGTTCGCACTTATGCCAAATCGCACTTTAACCAATGTTTTCAAAATCTTTTGGCGCATTTATACCAATTCGCACATATGCCAGTTCGCACCAATGTCAGTTTTTGCAACGCTTCGCACTTATGACAGTTCGAGGCATATGTGCGCTTATTCAGCCTCCCGCTTTGTGAGTGTCATCTTTTAGGAGTTGCAAAGAATGTAAAAAAAAAAAATAATAATAATAAAAAAATAAGAATAAGAAAAAAAACAAGAAAATAAAAGCAACATTGAGAAAAGCAACTTAGAGAAAAGCAACATAGAGAAAACAATTTTATAAGAAAACTAATAGTTATTAGTTTTAGTTAAAACAATTATAATTGTTTTAAAAGTTTAAAATGTTCACTTAAAATAATTTTTCTATACTATACCAAAACTTTTGTATTTATAATTATAATGGCGAGGTGTGTGCGCATGTTTTGGTTGGCCTGGATTCTAAAGTTGGTCTCTAAAGTTCTAAAACTTTATTCCAGTGAGCAAATCTAGGTTTCGCGTTTTTTATAAAATCCTGACCCGAATATAGTAAGTGCTTGAATTCATTTTAAATAGTGTATAAGTTATAACAATTTTTTCTTTAATATATTAAAAAGAAATATTTAGCATAATAAACCTAATCTATTGCAAATTATTATAACAAAATGAGTGTAATTGGTTTAAATAAGTTTAAACACTCGCGTTTTTTCTAAAATCAGGTCTTGATTTTACAAAAAACGCGAAACCTGGATTTGCTCGCTGGAAAAAAGTATCGAAGTCTAAAGTTTAAATATATATTATTTCTAGCAATGGAATTAAGAAATCAGAGATGCGGTGCCTGCTTTGGTCATAAAAGCAACATTCGCAAACGTTTTTTTATTACTTCTCCTCGTTTCCCAATGATTATGTATATTTCGAAGATTGTTTTAAAAAAATTACTTTTTAAAAAAGAATATACTTTTAAAACATATTGTACCCTCTGTGTTGCTAGTTTTGAATAAAACTCTTCCCCTCTCTCAAGTTGTCTAAAAAAAGTAAAATAAAAGCAAATTGTTTTTAAATAAAAAAAGAGACAGGTGAAATAAATAACAAGTGAAATATATAAATAAGAAACAGGTGGAGTGAATAAATAAATACTCATGAATAAAAAACTGATAAATTAAAGTAAATAAAAATTGTTTTAACGAACAAAATAAATAACAGATATAAAAAAACCTAAGTGTAATTCTTTCAATTTGGTTACGCCATTTTTTTAGATTATATTAGGTTTTTGAAAAGTTTTAGGATTCTTTTATCCATTTACAATTCCTCAATCCGTTTTATTTATTTATTTGTAAAAGATTTTATTCTGCTTGTGCATAATTATATTGAAACATTTTTGGTACGTTTTTGGTATTATGTGTTGATGTATAAAGCAGCTACCTAAGTTAAACCGTTTATGTAATTAAAAACATTGCTGTAAAGTAATTTGCTAATTGGGGAATCTACGAAAACGATTATTATTTTAGATATACCAAAGATTGTTTAATTTTCTTTAATATCTTTCTTTAGGTGTAATCACATATCTGGTTAGTTCATAAAAATAAGTATCAATACAACTACTATGCTAAAAAATATTGTGTAAATATTTTTATCGAAAAAGTAATTTATTAATATATTTTATATTAGTCGCATTTTGAATAATGTTATAACTTTTTTATGTTTTTTTTTATTTATTTATGATTTTATATAGATTGATTCACAATAAAAATGTATTTATAAAGTATATACCTATATATATATATATATATATATATATATATATATATATATATATATATATATATATATATATATATATATATATATATATATATATATATATATATATATATATATATATATATATATATATATATATATATATATGTATATACATATATCGAAGACCTTTGTGACTATTCAAGTAAACTAGTTATAAATACATTTTTATTGTGAAATATTTACAGATATATATCAGTGAAATATAATCGTAAAATATAGATCGTGAAAAATATATAAATACTGTTGAACTAAGAAATTTCTGTGACTTAGTACAATAGTAAAAGCTACAGAAATTCTTATTTTAATTGAAATTTCTAACCAATTGATGGTTTGTACCAAAGTAAATGATTCTTTGCATAAAGTTATTCTTATTTCTAAATAATATTTTTCAGTTAATTTTTTTTCAGTTTAGCATTTTACTTATTACCTGCTTGTTTATAAGATATATTTCTAAAAAAAGGAATTTTTTTACAATACAAGTAAAATGTAAAATAACTTAAACTATATGTACTAAAAAACTGATACAGTCATTTTTATGACGTTTTGCAACAATAATTTTTTTAAAAATGGTTATAATGAAAAAGATTGTACATTTTGAAATATCTATAAAACTTAGGTGCTTTTGAGACCCTACTTTAGAAGAAAAAAATTTTCATTGATATTTGTTACCCAGCGTGTAATGTAGGTTCAGGGCCGTCTTGAAGAGGTCTTCCATGGAGGAGGGGGGTGTATGTATTTTCTTGCCAACTAGAAACACCTAAAAAAAAAAAAAAATAATAAAGTCCTCAATATTTGCAATTTACCAACTATAGTTCAAAACTTGCCCCATGTGCCGACTCAAATGCTTATATGACAGCTATGAGGTGAGGTGGGGTGGAGGGTGGGACACCCCGACACGAATTATTTTTAGTTACTTTTAAAACATATTTTATCTATTATTTTTATCAGGAAACAAGGAATACCAAAAAGTTATTACCCTATTGCAGCAGTAGGATTCTAATAATTTAACAACCGGTTCTGTGTGCCCCTTCCAAAAACCGTAACTCTAACCCATTCTAAAATCAAACAAAAGTAATTTAATTTATTCAAATAATTATTGCATAATGAATGTATGGGAATGAAAATACGCTTTCTTTAACAAAGAATATTATGCTACTTTTATGAGTTAATCAGATAAATATGACTACAAATATCATTTAACAACCAATTCGGCGAACTACAAAACTTTTAGGAAGTGGTTCTACCGAACCGGTGCGAACCGGCTGAATCCTACCACTGCCATTATACCACTGCCATTATATAACCAAGATGATCACGTTGAAAAAAAAAAAAATAATAATAATAATTTCCAAGATTTTTTATATTTATCTTGTATGAAACTCTTAATTTACCTTACTTGTATAGTGGGTGTTTAATAAATCTAAAATAAAAAATAACCCTAATAATCCGAAATTTGCTTAACGCCCTGGATCCACAACTCATTCCGAATGAAGACGGCTACTTCCGTAGGTAGAACTAACACGGCAAAGAAAAAAAAAAAATTAGTCTGTAAAAGCTCCAGCTGTCGCACAAAAAAAAAAAAGAAAAAAAAAAAAAGAAAAAAGAAATAAGAAATAAAAGAAAGAAATAAAATAGAGGCGAAAGATGTGTTTTATTTTGGTAGCAAAGTGATTCCTTTATAAGAAGAAACATTTCTATATGTTGTTAGAAATCAATTATTTTATTTTATAATTTAAATTAGGCATATTGTTTAAAAACATGTTATATCGTTTACAAACATCTTAATCTGAAAACTAATTGCTATTTTTTACGGTTTATGAAAAAAACTGTACATTAGCCGAAACAAATACAATTAAGCTAATACAAAAACAATAACATACTAATACACTTTCAAATTTACGTCACGTTAAATGAACTCATTTTGACAACCACTGGTTATTATAAGTAAAGTATCAGGCTTAAAACTTTTTTTCACAATTTTATCTTTTGCATTAAATAGTATCATTATTAAATTTTATAAGGATTACATTAGGGCTTTTAGTTTGTTCACTTTTAAGATAAATATTAGTTATTTGTAAAATACTTTATTATTTTATTAATTGACATGATTGATTTTATAAATCAACAAATATGTTTTTAGATACAAGTCTTAGATAATGCATATTGCTCGTCGTTATTCACCTCCACCACCAGATCCTTATCCGTTACCAAGTTTACGTTTAGTTATACTTTGTGTATCTGTTGCAGTTGCTTTGAGTATGATAGTTGTTATCTTGCTTATTGATGTTCGACCCCCGCCTCTTTCTGATATATTTCTCACTACAGCCTACTTTCCACTTGGACAAAGCTTGCAATTAAAAACACGACGATGGACTAAAAATGAAAAAAGTTGTCAGAGCTATGGTGTACCACGTTTAATTTCAAATGTTACTGACACTCTTTGTGGCCAAGCAATCTGGCAAAGTACAGCTGACTCAGAGGAAGGAGATCGCTATGTAAACAAGATTGATACAGCATATAGATTTTTTGTAAATTACAATGACAGCTCTGAGTATTTTAAATGGTTTTTATTCAGTGGTAGTGTTTTACCTCTGCCTATTTCTTATTATACAGAGGAGACCAATACCTCTCCTACAGCTGGTCAACAGTATCGTTCATTTCGATGGGAGCCTATAAATGGGAATTATATAAGTTCCAATAATGATTCTAAAAGAAACGAACATTTAGGTGTACAAAAAGAAAAAGTTTGCAATAATAAAAAATGTAAAGATGTATTTCGACATATTGTTTACGTATTTCGGTATGTTTTTAGAATTACTTATTCAAAGTCAAAGTATTTAACATTTAAAGTGTCATATTTTATATTTTATCAGTTAAATAATTTTATATTTTATCACTATAATTTAGAGTGTAATAGTTTTATTTTTATCAGTTACTCCAATCTAATCAAAAATAATTTCTTTTGCAACAACCAATAACCAATCCAATCCAATCAAACATTTTTTCTTTTACAACAACCGTGTCTTTTAAAAAGCATTGCAGTTTATTATTAAGACCGGAAAAAGTTTCCTCAATTAAATTAATGGATTTTGTTGTAATCTAACCTTAATTTTGTCAGTTTAAAATATTATATAGTATATAATAGCTATGTATTATATATAAAAATAATCTACGTTTAAAATAGGGATATCATAACAAATGTTTTAAAAGTAAAAAAAATTGATAAATATTTTTAGGCAAAAAAATGCATTTGCTCGTCTAATTATATATGGTTTTAACCACAGTAAAGATGGAAGACTTGGAGTTGACTTTGCAGGAAGGTTAGTTATTTGAGATTAAATTTGTTAATTAATAAGTTATATTTCCTTAATAATAAGTTATTTTTGGTAATTCTAATGTCTTGCATCTATCATATTATTATATTATACTAATGTGTCTTTATACATTGAACTTAAACAATGTTCACTTTCTTTGTAGTTACTGACAAAAAATTTCTAAATATGAAAATAAACTCGACATTCAGCAATGCTGACCTAACTGCTGACTTAAAAGTGTTTGAGGTTGGTAAAAATTCGCCAACCTTGTTTTTATGTTTTACGGTCAACCCTTTGTTAGCCTATTATATAAATAAATGGTGAAAGGCTGTATACTAACAATTTTCCGCTTATTCTCAAAGCCTTTGTCAAGGAGGCCTTATGCAAGATAATATCCAAATACAGTAAATATCTGACAAGATGAGTATTTTTATCAAGGCTATTTATATTTATATATTATGTTATATTTATATAGCCTGATTCCATCAACAGCTGTGAAATATCATTATTTATAATGCAATGTTGCGCATGGAATTTTTATTGGACAGGACATGAAATTTCTATGGGACAACTTGGGTGAGGATTTTGACAACCATTTATTGGACAACTTGAAAATAAAATGATTTATCTTTTGATAGCTATCCATATGTAATGTACATGATAACACCTTTTTCTTGTAGTCATATCAATTATAGACTTAATCATCTCCATGCTGCAGTATCACTATTTGAATTGATCAGATTGTTAAGTATAAACATAGTGTTTATTGGTAAAAAAACATTTTCTCCTGATATGTTTGCCCTGGTATTTAAATACTTTTTATTGTTAGGTGTATTTACTTTCGATTACACAATAACTATGAACAAAGTAGTTGAAAAAATGTACGTCTAAACTGATGACAACTGTACATCTAAAGTTAGAAATAATCTTTAATCCTGCTCTAGGAGCGTTGCTCTAGGGCAATTAGTAATTAAAATATTTATTTTCTTATCTTCTACTAAATTTAAATTCATTGACAGGTTTTAAATTTCATTTAATAATCTTTTAGTGTTTAAAAGTTATAATCATGTAACGTTCGGGAGGTTGAATAAGCGCAAATTGGCATATGCGCGAACTGACATAAGTGTGAAGTGTTGCAAAAACTGGCATAAGTGTAAACTAGCATATGTGCGAATTGGCATAAGTGCAGAGCAGTTGCAAAAATTGGCATAAGTGTGCCAAATAACTTTACCAGCATTGGCATAAGTGTGTATTGGCATATATGCGAACTGGCATAAGTGCAAAACAGTTACAAAAACTGGCATAAATACAAACTGACATAAGTGCGCCAAAAGAATTTGCAAACATTGACATAAGTGCGAATCGTCATAAGTGCCCCAAAAGATTTTGCAAACATTGGCATAAGTGCGAATTGGCATAAGTGCGAAGCAGTTACAAAAAGTGGCATAGTGCGAATTGGCATAAGTGCGCCGAATAAAATTGCAAATATTGGCATAAGTGCAAATTAGTATTTCGCACTTATGCCAGTTCACCTTATGCCAATGTTTGCAAATTTATTTAGTGCACTTATGCCAATTCACACTTATGCCAGTTTTTGTAACTGCTTCACACTTATGCCAATTCACAATTGTGCCAATTTGCACTTATGCCAATGTTTGTAAATTTATTTGGCGCACTTATGCCAATTCACTTATGCCAATTCACAAAACAGTTACAAAAACTGGCATAAGTGACACTTATGCCAGTTTTTGTAACTGTTTTGCAAGTGCAAAACAGTTACAAAAACTGGCATAAGTGTCACTTTTTGCCAATTTGCACTATACCACTTATGCCTATTTGCACTATGCCACTTTTTGTAACTGCTTTGCACTTATGCCAATTTGCACCTATGTCAATGTTTGCAAAATCTTTTGGCGCACTTATGCCAGTTTGTATTTATGCCAGTTTTTGTAACTGTTTTGCACATATGCCAGTTCGCATATATGCCAATACACACTTATGCCAATGCTGGTAAATTTATTTGGCGCATTTATGTGGATTAAGTATGAACTGGCATAAATATACTAGATCATACTTATTCCGATTCGCACTTATGCCAGTTCGCACTTATGCTATTCACACTTATGCCAGTTCGCACTTATGAAATTTGCGCTTATTCAGTCGCCCCGTAATGTTTCAGTCAAGACAAAATGAGACTGTAGCTGCTTTGATGACTCATTCATCTGTAAAAAATGTTGATGACACCAGTTGTTGTTTTTTATTTATTTTAATCAAATTTTTTGAAATTGTTAGTTTTAAAAGAATTTATAAAGATAGTATTACCAGAAATAAAAAATGTGTTTTTTTGTTGCTCAATCAATTGTAAACAAATGAATTTTCTTAAAGCATTTAAACTTTGACAAGGATCAGGTGGTACCTACTTTGTAAATGTTTAGCAAACATTGCAAAAAATTGACATTAAAAAAACAAAGCTTTTTTTTTTATTCTGATTCACTCCCAACAAGGCTGCAAGCAACCACTATTAAGTTGGGAGTTGTTTGAATGAAGATGTGAGAGAGTTCCAAAGCGTTGAAGTGTGGGGAAAAAACTAGACGAATAAAAATTTTTAGAGCATGCAGGGACAGATACAGGAAAAGAATGACGAGTCAAGCGAGATAGAATTTTAGTTGATGGAACTAGAGATGATAACACTTTTGAGCAGCGACCATGATAGTATTTGTAGAAAAGAGAAAGAGATGCAACTTTACGACGATGAGTAATAGGCTCAAGCTGCATGAGTAGAGCAAGTCCAACTGCATTATTGTTAGGAAGTATTTACTTTCGATTACACAATAACTATGAACAAAGTAGAACAATCCAACTTACAATGCGTTTTTGGACCTTATCTAGAAGAGCAAGAGTATCATTAGAAGAACCAACCAAGATATGACAACAGTATTTCATACAGGGATGAATAAGAGATTTGTAGAGTTAGAGAATGAAATCAGGAGAGAGAAAATGGCAAGCACAATAAAGAAAAGCAATCTTAGCAGATGCTAATTTAGCAATCAATTGTATACATGGTTTCCACGATAATCCAAGAAGACGTAAAGAAGAGGACTCATTGAGAGGGTTGCCATTCATTAATATAGAAATGTTGATAGTATTGCGAGTTGTTTGCAGTAAATAACTGAGTTTTGTTGGAATTAAAGTTTACAAGCCACTGTGAGCCCTATTCTGTTACAGAAGTAGAAGATCAGATTCAAGATCAGCTGCCTGTTTGAATACTGGTATCATTGCTGATGGTTTAGAAATTTCATCAAACCATTTTTGTGACATGTAATTATGTATTGCAAGATGATACTTTTTAATAATCTTTCTGTTATTGAAAGCAATTTGTTTAAAGAAATTATTCCTTAATAAAATTATCTTCCAGTTGAACATAAGTACTCCAGTTGAACATAAATCTTTTTTTTTGTGATTAATTTATAGAATATGTCAGAGTTTAATTGTGGCGGCTTAAGTTTGCCAGGTGATAACATCTGCCATTTGAATAAATTTAAAGGTTTTTTGGATTGAAATTCTGACAAACAATTCAAAAATGTGTAACATTAACAGTTCAGGTTAGTTTTCAATACAAACTCTCAATAACTTTTTGAATTCTTTTTTATTGCTAGTGATTTTTTAGGAGCTGATTGCAATGAAAGTTTTCATTTTGATCAGTTAGTTTAAATTTGAAATTTTAAAGCCTGATTACTCCAAGTAATCAAGCTTTAATCCAAGCCTAATTGCTCCAAGTTTTTATTTTTATTAGTAGATAGTTTTCTTTGGCAATAAGTGAAATTTAATAAATGAATGAGTTTAATGAATTTTAAAAATAAACTCTCTCACAGAGTGGTTATATTTTCTAAAAGTTTATTAACTACCTCTCCTTCGTATTAAGCACCTGAGAGCTTAAACAAAAAGAATTTGAGAAGGCCAGAAAAATATTAACCACCTCTCTAAACATTGACTGTTAAAATGATATTTTTAAAATATATTTAGTTAATATAATTATATAAATTTTAATTATATAAATTTCATATTTACAAAATGTTTATGAATAAGTTTTAATCCATAAATTTTAAGAAAGCTTAAATTTCAACTCAAAAAAAAATTTGTTTAAGATGGTTTTTAATCTTTTTAAATTATTTTAAATTTATTTTTTGTATTAGTACACAAGGATTACACAAAAAAATCTTTATATACACAAAGAAAAAGAAGTGAAATATTGTAATTTGCAAAAAAAAAAAAAAGAAAGAAATAAACAGGCAAATTTGTAAAAACAAAATAATAAAGTTGAAATAAAAAAATTGTAAATACAAAATAAAGATATTCAAGCACACAAGCATTTTTAAAAGTTTACCAATTATGAAGCAACAAACTAATTAAGATGCTAGTGCCAATAAACAAAGCATTACTCCATCAAATAATCCAAACCTTTAATTGAATTATTTATTTTTATTTAAATCTAAATGCTAAAAGATACATTTAAATATGTTCATTGACTCATTCAAAATTAACTTGTGCTTTTTACAATTCTTTTTGATTGCACAACCTCTTCTTTTGTAAAGTTTTTACACACTTAAAAATGGTGGAAATAGTTACTTGTTTCTGTAAAAGCAATTATAAATTTTTTTATAGACAAAAGAAAAATCTTGAAAATTATTATTCTACATAATTTCACATCACTAATGCTACACTGATATAAAATTTGATACATGCATATGCTTTTTTACAGATAACCTTTAAAACTTTCAACCCTCACACTCCTCGAGCTCAAATGAGAAATTTGCTGGTCCAAGAAAGTCATAAAAGTAGAAAATTGAGAATCATTAGAGCAATAAAATCGTATTTTTCATGTTCATATAGTAAAGGACTAAATGATACAGAAAATCGGCAATAAATCATGGCTGTTTCCAGTATTAAAATCAACAACACTACATTCTGTATTTATATCAGGACTAATCAAGTGTTTACTAATTTTTTTAATGATTATACATATTATTTGTATCTATGTTGATATTATTTCATTTTTTTGGACCAGAAAATCTACAAGGTCCAAATTTTTTGTTTAAATATATAATTTTGAAAGCTTTATTTTTTTAATCCTTTTTTTCATATTTATTGTCAAATCTTTAGTTCTTCCAATTTTTTTTTTTTAATTACACAAGCTGGCGAATCTTTAGTTCTTCCAATTATTTTTTTTAATTACACAAGCTGGCGAATCTTTAGTTCTTCCAATTTTTTTTTTTTTAATTACACAAGCTGGCGAATCTTTAGTTCTTCCAATTTTTTTTTTTAATTACACAAGCTGGCAAATCTTTAGTTCTTCCAATTTTTTTTTAATTACACAAGCTGGCAAATCTTTAGTTCTTCCAATTTTTTTTTTTTAAATTACACAAGCTGGCAAATCTTTAAGGTAGCGAGAATCTGATGAGAATTCTAATGACAATGTTTTATTGCAATTTTATAAACATTTCCTCCTGAATTGGTATGAAGTTTCTTTGCATTTCGATCCCAGAAAGCTTTGCAAAAAATTTATTAAATCTATTTTTTCACCGCAACGGTATCCTATTGGAAAATTAAGAAAAAAGAAGTCATTATAAAAGTTTAAAGATTTCAGCTGTTATTACTGCTATGTTGTATAAGGAGTTAACTTGTTGTTTGATGTTTGTTGGAGATAATGATGTTGTTGAAGTAGATAACTTGTTTTTTGATATTGTTGTTGGAGGAGATAACTTGTTTAATGTAGTTGTTGGAAGAGGTAACTTGTTGTTTAAAGTTGTTGCTAGACTTTGATTGTAATTGGAAGAAACAAATCAAATTTCAAAAATATTGTAAAAATAAACCAATAAAATTGTATAAATGTTAGTATAATTACAAATTATTTAACAAAAGTACCAAAGTACTGTCAAATTATATCTTTTAACTAAAGTACTTTAAAAATATATTGAAAAGATTTTTTATTAATAATGAAAAAAAAAAAAATTAAAAAAAAGTACAGGTAAAGAAGAAGAAAAAAAAGAAAAAGAAAAGATAATTTGATTATTTATCAACTCAACCATTTTTTAGCAACTGAAAAAAAAAAAAAAAGTTCTAAATGAGTGGAGTCTTTTTAAAGTAGTTGACAGTGCAACATTTGATTCAACTGCGAATAACACAAGATGGATGAATGGAGCAGTGTTAAGTATTGAGATAGAGAAAGGAGCCACTAATTAAGCTAGCATGTAGACAGCACTTTATAGAACTTATAGAGACAAGCAACTAGCAGAGATGCTAAAGAGAAGCTATTTAAAATCTAAAGAGAAGCTATTTAAAACCTTACATGGTAACTTATTTACATGATAACTTATGAATTATGAAAAAGAAATTATGATAATATGAAGAAGACTGGAAACATTGGAGCCTTGGAACATTTATTCAAAATAAGGTTGAAAAGTATAATAAAAGCCTTGTTAATTAAGACATTAGTAGCAAACGAAATGTTAGACAAATAAAATGTATTTTTATTTAAAAAAATCATATTATGCATAACTAAGTAAATATTTTTCTATGCTGCTTATATCTTACAGTTTTGAAGTGAAACTGTTGCCTTTCATTCTGTAAGATTACTTTACGCAAAATTATATTGTGCAAGATTGAAAATTAAAATATTTGTAGAACAAACATAATTCTATTGTTTATTGATGTATGTTGATAATGAATTCAAAATGAATGTCATTTGAATTCTAAAATTGTAAAATTTTATATTTTTATATATATATTTAAATTAACAATTAAACTTTATTAAATTAATAATTAAACTTACAGGTTTTTAATAAATATACTATGACAATTAGGAGCAATTTTAAATCAAAAGCACGTTCACAACCTGAAATACCCTGTACAGTACCATTACCAAAATTGTACCATCACTTAGGATGATACCATCACCTATTATAGTACCATTGCCAAGAAAACGTTAAAAAGTAAGTTTTTTTTTTTTTTTTTTTTCAGATTGGCGGGATCTATGGTTGACTTAATTACTCAAAATCAACCTTCATCGCTAGATGCTTTTATTATAAATTTTCAAACATGGGTACAATTTATTGTGCGTACGTTACCTCTTAAAGTTGTTAGTAAAGGTTGGTCGGTTAGATATTATTTAAACCATTTTTAAAAAATTCCTTCTCACTAAAATGCCTAACTCATTTCTTACATTTATTTAAAAAATTTCATACATTTATTTAAAAAATTTTAAATATATATATTATAACATTTATATGTATATATATATATATTTTTTTTTAGCATACATGAGTATTTTCATGTTAGGGACAGGTGTTATGTCATTATTTGAAGCTGATTCTTGGGTGATATTCATTGATTTATTCTCCAGTAAATTGCAGTTACTATGGAAACATCTTATCGGTAATTTTGTCTAAGTAGTTAAGTTTTATTTTAACATATCTTACACTTTTATCAAAACATATCAAACTAATAAAAGAATTTATTTTACAAATAATTATTTAGAAGCTTCATTAAAAGATTTGTACTTTTTGGCTGTTGCGCTTTTTCTTCTTATCATTCACCGAACACAAATATTTCTTTCTGTAAGTTTGAACATTTTTTTTTTTATTGATTAAAAATATTTGTACTCTCTGTTTTACTTGTTTATAAATTATTACTTGTTTTATATTTTATTATATTTATATAAATTTCTTATTAATATAAGTTATTTATTATTTCTGTTTTGCAGCCGTACGGTGAAATGAATCATATACACACAAAGTGCAGCAGTTTATTGACATCAGCTGTTGAGAAAACGCGCCAGCAAGCAGATTCTGTGAAGGATGATGTCATTTTGCAGTCTTGAGATTTAAGCATATGGGATATACATTTAAGCATATGGGATAATATATTTTTATACAAATATCATCTACTTGCTTGAACATGTTTTAAGCTTGCTTTTTATGTTTTTAATAATAACCGTTACTTTTTATGTGATGGTTTTAGTGTTACTTTGCTTTCTGTTTGGCTTCTTTCTTTGTTATAGTGTTTGCTACGTAACAGCTTGTATTTTAAGTGATGATTTTTCCCTCTAAATTTTATTTGATGGATTTATCCGGCAGTCGTTGCATTTTTAAAAGTTTTGGGTTTTTATTTTTTATATTAAGATAGACGTTATATTAGTACTATTTTTTTTCTCTACAAATTTTTGGGAGTATTTCTAGCACTGAATCAACCGCTGAGTTTTTTCAATAAGTAAGTGCTTCAGTAACATAAGATTTAAATCGCTGTTGTGTTTTGTTTTGTGATGTAATTTAAAAGGGTGGATGAACCAAATATGCGGTTTACTTAAGTAAAGTATCCAGAATATTCTGCTGTCTATAACTCGCTCGTCGTTTTTTCTCACATCTCCTGGAATATAAAAACCATTTATTACTTTCAGTTCGTTTGTGGTTACCAAAAAATGAACAATAGTAGGTACGGCTATTTCTAGGAAAACTTGATATTTATAAAAAATGCTAGAAAGTTCTTGGAACCCCATAGCATATTTTCGTGGAATGTACAGTATATCAGAGCGTCCACTGTGTGCAAGCAACAAGTTGTTTCCATTATTTATGTACATCTGAAAATATTTACGGTAAATTTTAAATCTTTTTCCTAAAGTATATATCTCTTGCACAGCGTGTTTTGTATTGTTAAAACCGTACGGTGAAATCCACCAGTACCATGTTGTGGGAATAGATTCATTCAAATTTACGTAGCCGTATTGGTTGTTTGAAATCCATATTGAATTAGTATTAAATTTGTTTTCGATTAGGTTCCAGTAGTTGAGTACAACATCGTCGTTAATGTATAAATAACCCTCAAAACTGTGATGAGAACGTATAATTTCTGCTAAACATTCATATCCAAATAATCCACGATGAATATTAACAACGGTCACGTTTGTAAATGATTTTGCTTGAATTGAGCCACAAAAAAAAACTTTTTGAAATATCGGGCCGTAGAGCTCACTTAATAAAGGTATGCTGTCATAAAATGGGTTATTGTAAACAATGATTAGTGCAATATTGTTAAAATACTTGCTGTAGCAGGTAGCGTTAAAATTCTTGCTGTAGCAGGTGACGTTTAAATACTTGCTGAAGCAGGTGGCGTTTAAATTTTGACGAGAGTCATTGTTAGAATGTGACAATAGATATATATTTTTAAAATCAGATAAACCAAAATCTTGATAATTCATGCCTAAAACAAACAAATATTGATTTAAATACGTGTTAGCATTATTTCTTTATATAATGCAGAGTAAGTTCATGGCAAAAAAAAAAAAATGTTTGCACCATACCTTGCTAAAATTGCTGATAATTTCATAAATTTCTTTTAATTTTAGATTGAGAGCAACTTAAAGTTTTTGATTGAACAACGAGAGCAAAAATGAGCCAAGAATGTTTTACTATTACCTTTTTAAATTATCTTATAAGGGTAATAAGTGATAAGACAACTATAGTCTTCCTTTTTCCCCGGTCACGTAGATCTTTATTCATGACTTTGTAATTATAAATAATCTTTTACGGCGAAATATATGTATATAATAAATAAATCTGCTGCAAGATCAACTCTGCTGAATCTAAAAATTATAACTTTTTATCTCTCAAGATATTGTAATATTGCTAATTTTAAGATCGTCATAATGGATCTAATTACGATAATAAAATAAGGTGTTAACAAATATAGCTCTAAAGAAATTTTAACTAATAACGAAAGTTTTCTTTAAAATTAGATGCATAACTTGATTGTACTGAGTTTTGAATGGACTCTATAAGTATTTTTTTAATTTTTTATTTGAATGGTTAGACTTTGAGAATTTAGTTTTTAGCTTATGTTTAATTGAGGAGTTATTGATATTTTGGTTTTCTATTTTTTCAAAAAAAAATTTAACAATGCATTTTAATGTTAAGCCAAATACAAGTGTACGCGTTTTATTTATCTTATAACTACAGTCAGTTGACTGTACTAAATAATACTTTACTTGTATATAATATTTTTACAAAATATTGAGCAATCTTTTGTAACTATTCCCACTTTGTTACTTATTGCTTTGAAAACATTGTAATTGTGTCATTTACTTTGTGCAATACTAGGTATAACATAAACCTTTCATTTTATTGTTTTGATAAAATGTTATGTTTTCAATACAAAATATAATAAAATGATATACATTATATACTTTATTATGTTCAAACATTGAGTACATTATATAACTCAATTTAAATATTATCGTGTGATGTATAGTTGATATAAAAGACATATAATGTTTTTCACACATATTTTGAAAATAATTTGCAGATATTTAGGCGTTTTAAACTATGTTTATTAGAAATAATACCAACTTATTCGAGAAATCTGTTCTTATCAAATGTAATATTTATTTTGAGCAGACAAGCTTGTTGGCAAAAAGTTTATTAGAAAGTATTACTTGTATTATGCTGCTTGATTATGGTTTTTAATTATACATTTTAGGGACACAAATGTTGTTATTTTGCAAGAAATCACGAAGTTTGTCATAAACAATCATATACCCGTAGATCTTATAAATTTAAAAAAGTTGTGGCTAACCTGCCAAAGAAAAAAAATATGGCTAATCTGTCAAAGAAAAAAAATTTGTGGTTAACCTGTCAATAAAAAATGTTTGGCTCACCTGTCTAAGAAAAAAAATTGTGGTTAATATGTCAAAAAAAAAGTTGTGGCTAACTTATCAAAGCAAAGTGATATAACTTTTCAAAAGCTTAAGGGGTTGTCCATTTCCGCCACCCTCCCCCCGCCCTTGCATTTAAGTAGAAATAATAATAACAAAGATTTTGATATTTTAACAAAACATCAAATAGGAATACAAAAGATTGCTAAGTCTGTTAAAATCAGAGGTCTACAAAAAAATTGTTAATAACCTCATGAAAAACCACTTGTTTTGACATATCTGAAAAATATTTTAAAAAACATTCAAATTTTGGTAAAGAGTATATGTTAAAAGAAAGTCTGATAAAATATAAGTATTGTTATATTACAAAGTTAAAACAGCATCTAAAAAGTACATAATTCGGTTTTGTATTTTGTATTTAAATATAAAGTTGTGAAAAAATTTAGGGAATAAGATGCCCTACTAGGTTTACTCTGTTCTGTAGATTAAAATTGAGCATTTATTGTGATATTACCTCCTTTTTTTTATTCTTATAATTAAGTGGTTATGCGAGTCTTGAACTATGTTGTCTTCAAATACAAAAATATAATTTTCGGATCCAGCAGGTTTTAACCTCGTTATCAAACTTCAACATGACTCAGCATTACTACACGCATCGTTTTAGTGCAATAGTAAAGAGAAAAATTTTCAGAGAAAAAAAACTTTAAATTGCTATCTTAAACATAGATGCTATCTTAAACATAGAAATGTCAGGTAAAAAATTTACTGTCTTCCCTAAACTATTTTTTTTAACATTTGTTCTAAATTTCAGCGACTTTTGTATAAAGTATAGAACATTGTTTTTGTGTGTTTTTTGACACAATATATAATAATTTAATATATATATATATATATATATATATATATATATATATATATATATATATATATATATGTATATATATATATATATATATATATATATATATATATATATATATATATATATATATATATATATATATATATATAATATATAATATATAATAATATAATAATTTTAACATAAAATGAATATCTCAATAACTATTAATTAACTAATGTGGTTGTATATATATATATATATATATATATATATATATATAACCGCATTAGTATATATATATATATATATATATATATATATATATATATATATATATATATATATATATATATATATATATATATATATATATATATAATATATAATATATAATATATAATAATATAATAAATTTGACATAAAATGATTGTCTCAGTAACTATTAATTAACTAATGTGGTTGTATATATATATATATATATATAACCACATTAGTATATATATATATATATATATATATATATATATATATATATATATATATATATATATATATATATATATATATATATATATATATATATATATATAATATATAATATATAATAATATAATAATTTTGACATAAAATGAATATCTCAATAACTATTAATTAACTAATGTGGTTGTATATATATATATATATATATATAACCACATTAGTATATATATATATATATATATATATATATATATATATATATATATATATATATATATATATATATATATATATATATGTATATATATATATATATATATATATATATATATATATATATATATATACATATATATATATATATATATATATATATATATATATATATATATATATATATATATATATATATATATGTATATATATATATATATATATATATATATATATATATATATATATATATATATATATATATATATATATATATATATATATATATCAGAACTGGAGATTCATTTGACTCGGACTCGAGTCCGACTCGAGTCACATCCATTACTCGACTCGAAAATCGACTTGGGTTTTGCCTTAAGGTTTGCGAGTTAACTCGAGACTTTTTATTATTTTTCGTCTCTTCGAAAATTGAGCAATTTATCTTTTTATTTCAGTTCTTTTTAGTTATTTTCTATTTTTGAATGTTTTTTCTTTTAACTTTTAACTCTCCTAAACTACGCTGAGTTGTCTAGTTTCTTTTCTCTTTTTTTTTTATTTGTTTTAAAAATAATAAATAATTAAAAATAAATTTTTTATTTGTTTTTCTTTTTTTTTCTTTTCTCAACTCTCTTCATTTTTATCTTCATTTTATTTCTATTAAAAACTCCATTAACTTCCAAAACTTTCTTATATATTTTTTTATTTTTTATGTAATTTATTTATAAAATTTGTTATAAAAACGCGTCCGCCATTCCGATAGTCTTTGCACTGCTGTTCAAATTCTAAGTACTCTAAAAAGCTTTTGCTAACGATTTCGGCGGTTATGCATTATATCAAAAGTTTATTTAGACAAGATCTGCGGCTGCTATACATGACCAGTATAAGATTTCAGACTTTCGAGCTGGTTAGGTAATTTACAAATACTATTTATTTTTATTTTGTTAGATATTTAAAATAAATGAATATACCCGCGGGTCCACTCGCTCTCCGCGGTAATCTTCTACCCATAGTAGACTAGTAGTATAGTATGACATCCCATAACAGTTCTTATATTTTTTATTAGCTTTTACGAAATACGCTGCAGTGTTGCACTACATCTGACCTTATAACCCTTTTAAACAAAGCTTTAAGCTTAGCTTATAAAGCTTAGCGTTAAGGATAATGGATTATTAATTTATAGAATAAAAAATAAAAATGACATTGCACTTTTTATTTGTATTTGCTTTGGGAATGAGTTCTACTACAACATATGGCCGCACCCACCCCAAGCAACGAAAAATTTTAGCAGCCGTTGTGAACACCTAGTAGTTGGTGTATAACTACTTAGGTCTATCGTAGAAAGTGAACATTCTAGGCAATAAAATAATTGATCCTCAGTGCTCAACTGTTAGCTGTTCTGCCGTAAAAATTTATTTAGAGAAAACTACATGGATGAAAAGGAAAACTAAACAGTAAATTTATGTCAGGTTGCAAGCTTTTCTCTAACACTTGATATTTGTTCAGATAGCTAAAGAAGGGGTTTCCTTGGTGTAACAGCGCATTACATACATAACTATCACTGTTACATACGGCTGTTGGCATAAAATAGGCTCTTAGGTGCTCATATTGGGGATTGTCATACTGGTGCTCAAGTTATATATGTTGTGACAAACTTCAGACGTGCTCATAAGTGACTTGAAAACAACTTTGATATATATATATATGCACTTAAAAACATGTAGACCCTTGTTAATTAATAGTTTTTGAGATGTCAAAAAGCACACAAAAATAAAATTTTATACCGTACACCAAAGAAAAAATAATTTAGTATATATATATATATATATATATATATATATATATATATATATATATATATATATATATATATATATATATACATATATATACATATATAGCTTTTTGTACAACTTTCAGAATTTAACACAACATTTATAAAATAATTAAAGGCAAAATAAAGTTTTATGGTATTATTTCAGCAATTTACTTATTAACAGATTTATTGAAAGAAATTCTTAAATCAACCTTTAAAACAGTAAATTAAAAAATCTTAAATCAACCTTTGAAACAGTAAATAATGATTGTAATGACTGCTGCGGCTAACAGCCAAATATAGTTTTGATTTTTCATGACCTATAAAAAAAATTAAATTAAAAATTAAATAAATGTTATGACCATATTTGTACAGCAATCTTGTCATAACATAAACTTGAAGCCCAATCAAATTCTATTCAAAATATTACACAAGTTTCAATAAAAAAAAATTGAGTATTGTGATTTTTATGGGCTTAAAAACAAAACAAAAAAATTGTAAAACTACTATAAACTATAATAAAACAACAAAAACAAAATTCAACTTAAGGAAATCAAAAATTTAACTAAAGGAAATCTAAAAAAAAAACTAAAAAAAAGGAAAAAGGTGATATGTAGTTTGATACTAAAAGTAGGAAAATTATTTTACCATTTTTATATTTGGATTCAAAGCATTAGGCACAAACTTTGATTTTATGATCAAAGCACAAAAAGGACTCGTTTTTATTGGAGACGAAACGAGAAAAATTTATCTTTTTGTTTGTTCTATCTGATATGAAACAACAATTGCATATTGAATAGACAAAGCAATTTGTAAAAGAACAAACAATCCCAGTCTGAAACTTCTACTTTCAATAGGTAATCTCCGAACATAACCATCCCTCACAGTATTTTTGGTTATACTGTTCTTGATAACGACGTTCGAAGCCCATTATATATATATTTTAGTAAAAGCACTCGCTGTACTCCTTTGAGTAAACTCCCATGTTGTCCTTGAATGTTGTCCTCCATGTTGTCCTTGAATTCATTGAGATAAGAGTTAAGGATATGGTTTCTCATTTTTTATCCCATTTGCTGTAATTCTTTACAATAATATAAACCAATTTTACATTTTTTTTAGCCTTGTGATTACCCGAGAAATCATGAAAAACTGCACATAAAAAATGTTTCAGTTTAAAATGTTTTGGAACTTGGCAACTTGTCACCATCTAAGATCTACTTGATTATAAAAAGTTAAAGTTCCTATGAATATCCGATGAAGATACCAGCTCTAATCTTAGCCGCAGACACTTTTGTAAAAAGATCTATAAGGTATTTAAAAGGTCCTAAATTCTTGTTTTGAGCAGTGACAAATTGCTTTTAAGAGGCATAAATTGATATGCTGAGGTTCATTCAGCCCCTCGCCCTTCGTATTGCTTTTTTCCACAGAGAACTTGGTCCATTGTGGCTAGTCCTTTCTGTGAGAGTGCACTGCTGTCCCTAGGCAAAGGAAGTAAAGAAATTTTTTAAAACCTTCAAGTTTAGCATTTGACTTGGACCATGGTCTCTTATTTAGAGTGTTGATATTTTTCTGATTAACAAGCATAACCTCATCTACTCAACCGCTTCAGCAAAAGTGTAATTTGTATCTCCAATATCTTCCTCACCGTCGAGTTTACTACTTTCTCTTAAGTATATCTAATCTCTCTTATGGAAAGATGAAACTGTTAGCTCGGGGTTCAACCGTAATGATGTAATGCACAAAGAAGTGTCTTGTTTATTGGTTGATGAAACATTTATGTTTAAGCGAATTTCATGGGACTTTTTAATCCATTTTGCAAATCTTTAACATAGCACATATTACTAAATATATAAATTTAGTAGCAGGAAATATCTCACATAATAAAAATTAAAGTAACATAAAAATGAAAAAAACTAGCCTGTTATGATTGGCTTGAAACATAAAAAGGAAAAAAACTAACTGATTATGGTTTTTCTAAAAACATAAACATAGAAAAAACTAGATGGTTATGATGGGCTATAAACATAAAAATTTAAAAAAATTGAAGTTTTTTTTAAATATATTTTTAAGTATTTTTTATAATATAATATAAAAAAATTGATAAAAAAACACATCAGCAAATTTTGTTACAACAAAAATATAAGAAAAGTTAAAGAAGAAAATTTAAAGACGTTTCACAAACTCTTTAAATGACTCTACAATTCAACTTAACCAAGTATTCTTCATATAGGAAACAAAAATCCGAAAAAAAATTTTAACCCTTCATTTGAGAAACCAAACATGATCTTTGTTACTCACGGTGTTAAAGGTTTTTTTAAATTTAAGAACATGATGAATAACCGCATTTTTGAACATATACAATTAATCGTGGAATTGTATATGTTCAAACGTAGGTTTATGTAAAATCATAGCTGCGATTAAGAGTAATTTAAAAAAAGAGAAACCATGTGGTTTTCCTTCTTCCCCAGATCCACCCCTGATCTTTAAACGCATTGAATGAGAAAAAAATATTTAACTAGGTAAAAAAGAATAAAATTGTTCAAAAAATCATAAATTTAAAAATAATACAAACTGTTAAATACATAATCGGTTTTTTTTAAAAAAAAAAACACTTACAGTTTATATCCATATATTATATATAATTTTAATTTTGTTATATATTTATATATATAAAAAAATACATTCATTGACATTGCATCATATTTTGCAAGTTTCTTTTATACGCTCGCTTTACGTATTGATCACACGATCAGGTTTATTGTACAGAGCTTACGAAATTTCTCTGCTTCGGCCACGGTCATTATACAGAATTGTATATTAAAGTTTATATAATTTAACTGGTAACCACAAACATTGTAAAAGATTACTAGTAATAAATTTTTTTGCGTGCGATGCATTAGTTACTCATATATTAATATAATTTTAATACATAATTTTGATACACACTTTAAGATAAACTTTTACTTAAATATAAACTTCAAAAAACATCATCAATGTTAACTTTAATAAATGGCAAAAATATTCTTAAGATTATATCAATAACTTGTATTTTTTGTAACAACATTATTTTATCTTTGTAGGAAGTTTATTTCTGTATATAACTTGCATTATTCTGTTTTGTAAAATATTTCGACTTTTTAATTTAAGTCATTTAAAACTTTGTTTTATGCACTTGCATAAGTACTGATGTTTCTTGTTCTTGCATAAGTACTGATGTTTCTTGTAACGAATTCAGATTTTGAGTAGTAAAATTAGAGATGCCTGAAGTAAAATCAGACATCTGTGGAAGAAATGTTTGACAAGTACTTCAATAAATCAAATCTAAAGTATTAAAAGCTTAATTTAAATAATAAAATTAATTTATTTTAAATATTAAAACTATTTTTTTTAAATAAACATACTCAATGCAAAATTTAGGATCTTTTTTTTTTTTTTATAATACCTAAAGAAAAGTTTTTAAATATTTTTCGAGCCCTAATGGCAGCTTTTTTGGGGCCTTCAATCTATTAGTCATGGCACTGAACATACTCAATGAATATGTAAATGTAGCAGGCGGCACCTTTACAACAAAGTTTACCTTTTTTTTAAAATTAAATATACTTAATGTATACAAGAGCGTATAAAACGACGCAATACAAGTTACCTTTTTTAAATCAACGTACTTTATTTATACGAAAACGCAACAGACCACACAACACGGGTTTTCTTATTTAATCACTACCTAGTTGGTAAATTGGGCATCATACAGACATTTTGGCGTATAAACACAATAACATGCGTATTGAATACCAGACTATAGACATACCGCTCTACTAACATGCCGCTCAATAGATACTAAAGTAAACGAGCAAACTTTTCGAAAACTATTTTTGATGTTCTAATAGTCAGATTTAAATTGTTTACTTGTTTTAATTAACTAGTTCTTTACTTGCTTCCATAAAACAACTTTTTTTTTTGTCAATCGCTGTAGTTCTTTAACGAACATTTTGTCATCGAAGTCACTACGCATGCTTTCATTTTCAACCAAATACATTTTTAAGTACCATGTCCATACCGTGGGGGATGGAGGGTAAGTGGTCGTCGATGGCGATTGATCCCCCTTTTTAAATAAATGGTCTCTGTTTTACGCAAGTTTTATAATAAAAATTGAGCAAAAAGTTCATTGGCTCTTGTAATAAAATATCACATCCGCCTAAAATATTACATCCCCTATAGAAAAATTAAAAACGAGAACGCGCTTTCGAGTCATTGCACTTAGAAGTGTATCAAATACGTCCGAAACATTCAATTATAAACAATATACGTTTTTTTACTAATATATTATAAATGAAGTTAGCATAAAATGGTAATATATTTTAAATTCTTATTTATAATATTTTGATCGTAATGTATTGTGTGACAATAGCGTAGAAGAAGATTACACATTAGGGATACTTTATGTAATAAAAATAACAATCGTTTGCAATATTTTAGAAGGCTGCATAGGGGGGATGTGATATTTTAAGCAAGAATTCTAGTTTCTTTTTGTGACATATACAGAAATAACAGGTGGTGGACGTTATATTATATATACCAAATACTAATTGTTTAAAATACTTTATAAACTACTTAGGGGGATGTAATATTTTAGAAGTAGACATCGGGGGGATGTTATATTTTAAGTAAGAATTTCAGTTTCTTTTTGTGACATATACAGTGAATAAACCGAGGGGATGTGATATTCTAGATACCAAATACTAATCGTTTGAAATATTGTATGAATTACTTAGGGGGATGTAATATTTTAAAGGTAAACATAGAGGGGATGTGATATTTTAAGTAAGAATTTCAGTTTCTTTTTGTGACATATACATAGAATCTACAGGGGGATGTAATATTTTAGGTATCAAATACTAATCAATTGAAATATTGTATGAATTACTTAGGGGGATGTAATATTTTAAAAGTATACATAGGGGGGATGTGATATTTTAAGTAAGAACTTCAGTTTCTTTTTGTGGTACATACAGAACTTACAAGTGATAAATCTTATATTTTAAACACTAAATACTAACCATTTGAAATGTTTTATGAATTACTTAGGGGGATGTAATATTTTAGAGATAAGCATAGGGGGGATGTGATATTTTAAGTAAAGATTTAAAGTTTCTTTTTGTGACATATACAGTGAATAAACCGAGGAGATGTGATATTCTAGATACCAATTACTAATTGTTTGAAATATTGTATGAATTACTTAGGGGGATGTAATAATTTAAAGGTAAACATAGCGGGGATGTGATATTTTAAATAGCAAATATTAATTGTTTGAAATATTGTATGAAATACTTTAGGGGATGTAATATTTTAAAGGTAAACTTAGAAGGGATGTAATACTTTTAGTAAGAATTTCAGTTTCTTTTTGTGACATATATAGCAAATAAACCGAGGGGATGTGATATTCTAGATACTAAATTCTAATCGTTTGAAATATTGTTTGAATTACTTATGGGATGTATTACTTCAAAGGTAAACATAGAGGGGATATGACATTTTAAGTAAGAATTTAAGTTTCTTTTTGTGGTACATACAGAACTTACAAGTGATGGATGTGATATTCTAGGTACCAAATACCAATCGTTTGAAATATTGTATGAATTACTTAGGGGGACCTAATATTTTAAAGGTAAACATAGAGGGGATGTGATATTTTAAATAGCAAATATTAATTGTTTGAAATATTGTATGAATTACTTAGGGGATGTAATATTTTAAAGGTAAACATAGAAGGGATGTGATGTTTTAAATAAGAATTTCAATTTCTTTTTGTGACATATGCAGAGATTCCACAGGGGAGATGTAATATTTTAAATATCAAATATGAATTGCTTGAAATATTGTAGAAAAATAATTAGGGGGATCTAATATTTTAGAAGTATACATAGGGGAGATGTGATATTTTAAGTAAGAATTTTAGTTTCTTTTTGTGGTACAAACATAATTTACAAGTGTTGAATGTGATATTCAAGATAGCAGTTACTACTTATTTGAAAAATTTTATGAATTACTTAGGGGGATGTAATATTTTAAAGATAAACATAGAGGGCATGTGATATTATAAGAATTTAAGTTTCTTTTTGTGGTATATACAGAACTTTTAAATGAAATATTTTATTATTGTAAAGAAGTACTTTTTTTTAAATGAAATATTGTACTATTGTAAAGAAGTACTTTGGGAGATGTAATATTTTAGAAGTAGACATAGTTGGGATGTGATATTTTAAGAAAGAATTTCAGTTTCATTATGTTATTTATACAGAAATTACAAGTGATGGATGTTATAGTCTAGTTACCGAATACTTATTGTTTGAATTATTTTATGAATTACTTAGTGGGATGTAATATTTTAGACGCCTGAATAGGGTGGATGTGTAATTTAAGTAAGAATTTCAGTTTTATTTTGTGACATTTATAGAGAATAAATAGGGGGAATGTGATATTCTAGGTACTAAATACTAATCATTGATTAGTATTTGATACCTAATGAAATATTGTAAAGAATTACTTAGGGGGATGTAATATTTTAAAAGTATACAAAGGGGGGATGTGATATTTTATGTAAAAATTTTAGTTTCTTTATGTGATACACACAGAATTTTTAAGTGAGGAATCTGATATTTAAAACACAAAATACTAATTGTTTAAAATATTGAAAAGAATTCCTTAGTGGGATAATAATAATATTTTAGACGCCTGCATAGGGTTGATGTGTAATTTAAGTTAGATATCCATCTCAAATATTGTTAGCTATTTTTTGTTTCTTGGGTCCTCCTCTGATGGGGAGATCTTTTTAATAAATTTATATATTTAATTAAAGAATTAAAAAAAAATTAAAGAACTTTTAATAAAATCAAGAAACTTTAATATTTAAAGTGTTTTTTAGCTTTTTAAAGTTTTAATTTAATATTTTATTTTTTTTTAGATACGATTGAGCTAACAATTTAAACATGCGACATTGTTCAACGAAGTCATATATAAAACTTTGGTGGAATTAAAGTTTTCATAAGATTTAAAATGAACGAAATTAATAACAATAATTTTTTACTCTAAATGTATTCATATCTTACAACATAAATATTTTAATGTACAAAACGTTTTGAAGGAAAATAAATAATTACGGTTTGTCTTTTTTAATTCTATTGCATAATTTAAAATTTTTCTCCATTACGTCCACCTATGGTGGCTTAGGCGTAATGTTTTGGGAAGGTTATAAATTCTTTAGATACTTTTTTTGAATAATAGAAACTTCTTTTCTTAATAAAGGAACATTTTAAAGAACTATTTTTAAATATTAACGTTTCTTTGGGTGGCTTGGTATGGAAATATAATGTGATTATTGAGCCTGTTGAGGCGAGTTAATAATATTTAGTCCAGTTCACAATTATTAAAATTGTACAAATTTTTAAAAGTGGCAGTTAAAAAATTAACTTATATTTATTACAATTAATTATAAAATCATGTATTTCATGTATTAGAATCATCCAATATCATACTGAACTGAAATGATAAAGAATAATGTACTGTAAAAGACAAAGTACATAAACGGTTTGTTGTATATATATATATATATATATATATATATATATATATATATATATATATATATATATATATATATATATATATATATATATATATATATATATATATATATATATATATATATATTCTATCAAATGTTAACACAACATTTTTGTAAAAATTAAAATTTTGAAAAAAAATACTATTGAGCAAGTATTATTCTTCCACACTAAGAATATTCTGCTTTTGTTAGGTTTTCCTATTTTCTTAATGACACAAATGCTAAAGATGGTTCGAAGAAGGTTTCACTAACAGATAATAATCATCCTTATAATGACAGATTTATAGCGTTGAATTCAACAAGTTTGAAAAAAAGACGAAAGCGTAGTGGCTTAATTTAAATGATTGAATTAGGTAACAAAACTGACTATGTTAATTGTTATAATAAAGATTGATTAAATTTTTATTCAACGAGTCCGGTGCCAACGCGTAGCCATAATAAACATAA